TTGCAGCCGACCACACAGCAAGTACGAACCATGGCTATGCTTTCACTCCTTACTTAGACCCCCAAAATGGCGGATCGGGCCAAAATCCTTTCCACGCCCACCCCCGTGACATCACGCTCCAAAGCCCTATAAGTTGTATGTTTTACGTGCAGTGGATGATGATCTGATTAGTTGACTAATCGCAAAAATAATCGGTGACTAGTCGACTATCAAAATAATCATTTGTGGCAGCCCTACTTGTGTTGCTTGGAAAGTTGGGTGAATTTCAACTTTAAATGCTATCTTGGAATATTTTTACAGTGTAAGCTGTAAAAATATTCCAAGATAGTGGGAATGTGAGGTTTATTGTGAAAGTGGAGGACAAGCATCCCAGCAAAACTACAGGACAGGAAATACTCTTACACTCATCACTTTAGCTTCCCTAAAATTTTCTAATACCTCAAAGGAGAAGAAAGTCCCTGGCATTAACATCTCTGAGTGACACATAAAGAATCACTTCTAAAATAAATCCTCTTAAATCTTGGATAAACTCATATATTGCCTCACATGAAACTTTTGGTAGACTGTTTTTGAGCTCTTGTTACCAGAACCTTTGGAAACTACTGCAGGTTAAACAAGACCAAACAAACACGCCGAGTCACCATATAATAAAAGAAAAATCCCCTAGCTAAGCAGCTTTAAGACTAGGAACAACCCAGAATGCATCTCTCACAACTAAAAAAGAACTTCCTGCGATTTTTCAAACATAATCTTCATTGAAAAATAATCTCCTCATATTTGGAGAGAGTTTCTAACGACAGAAACTCGATGAGGAGCTGCTGAGCGCTCAGCGCCCGTGCAGCCCGCTCTGGTGTCATCCTGCAGAAACCTGATCGCAGTAACCTTATCACGTATGTGGGAACTGTGCACGGCTCGAGGGGTTCATTTGATGGTCACAATGGAGATTTGACTCCTGTTGTGCGCATTCATTAGAAACCGACAGGGATCCTGTTTTACAGTCATGAAAACCTGGTTATTCAATCAGGACTACTCCAATAGACAGCTTATCTGAGGTTACTCAAAATTAAGACATAAAGATCAAATGCCTTTTAGAATCACGTTTAAAAAGATTTTGAATTTCCTTAATCTTCTGACAGTTCATGGACCAAACGTATTAACTGATGTTTAAAATGGTCAGTGAAATATTTGTAAGAGTAACATCTGACCATCTGTGCTGCTGCAGCTTAGTCTCAGCATCAGTGTGGACCTGAATGTGTTTGAATGTGTGCATCAGGTGGGATGCAGGATTACAACTATGTGTGGGGGCAGTGTTTGGAGATCACTCTGGAACTGTCCTGCTGCAAGTATCCTCCAGCCAGAGAGCTTCCTGCTTTGTGGAACGACAATAAAAAGGCTCTGCTGGCCTACGTCCAGCAAGTCCACCTGGGTCAGTATGTCTCTGTCTTTGAGTCCACCTGTCTCTATTGAAGCAGTATCAGTACTTGATAATAACCCGGTATGTGGTGTTCAGGTGTCAAAGGTCAAGTGTTTGATGGTTCAGGCGAGCCAGTGGAGAACGCAGTGGTGGAGGTCAGAGGTCGCAGGAATATATGTCCATTCAGAACCAATCAACATGGGGAATACTACCGTCTGCTGCTACCTGGGAACTACACATTCACAGTAAGACTTTACAGCCCAGTGCAGCTTATTCTTCAACCTAAATAAACATTCACTGCCACATGATGTTTGTTTTGTGAGTTATGGTCATGTTAGAGTAAAAAATAAAAAAACAATAAAGCAGGGTGTACTTAAGGTTGGGCATACATAAATAAAGCTGGGTATCATCTGCATAGCAATGAAAATGTATACTGTGTTTCTAATGATATTGCCAAGGAAGCATGCATAATGTATGTCCTGCTCTCCCATATCTTTTATTGTAGGTAACATATCCAGGTCACGAGGTTTTGACAAAGACTCTCAGTGTCCCGTATGGTCCGGATCAATACTCTGCCCTTAAACACGACTTCCTGTTACGACGCACAGCCCGAACGACTAGACGGACTGTGGGTAGCACTACCCAAACTGATGCCACCCCTACCTGTAACTACACTTTACAACAGAAGGCGGGCGGAGCCATGAACAGGCCCACGTGGAGCAGCCTGGCTATAGGGCTCAGCATGGCAGCAGTGCTGCGATCCCTGATCGACTGAAGTGAAATTGCCAGCCAGGTTCAGTTCCTATCGACATCAAACCAAACACGTACATCAAAACTGTGACACAATGTCAACTGCAGCCTTCTGAGGAGACACATGGAGCAGGAGTTTGACAATTCCTGCAAGCTTTGTTGCCACAAACAAATCTGAGACCATGAAACCATGAGATGAAATTTAGTGGAGAATACTGTGATGGTCAGAGCTAAAGTGGAGCACCCAGGTTCATAAGCATAGAAGTTACATACTTCTGATATGGATAACAGGAAACATTTGCAAAAGACATTTTCACATGTAGCAGTAGAATGAGGACCAGACTAGAAGTTAAAAACTTATATGAGCCTTTATGTTATATGCTAGCACAAATTTTAACCAAAGACCCAAACAACCCAAATGGCTGCTTTGTTAAGATCACTAATGGGTGGTGCCTCAAGGCCCCTTATTATACATAGCTTTTCCTTACAAAGTGTACAATGGCATGAATCATCACTTAGCTATTCACGTGCATTATACGCACATAACTTGTCTGCTATTGTACGCAAAGGGAAAATGTGTATTCCATGATTGGCTGGCAAGCAGTTTCTGCATGTTGCTGGTAGTCACATTGGTTCCAAAAAGAGGGCTGTATAAAAAAAACTCTCCTTGATATTGCTTTGATTTGTATTTGACATGGTCACCTGTATTTTTCATGGAGGACACCAAATGGTCTGCAAACATTCAGCAACTACCAAGTGTGTGTCACATTGTTAACAGTTTGCTCACAGAGTAGTTGGCAATTGTTTGCAGACAAATTGTCATCTTTCACGCAAGCTATGGAAGACCAATGCAATTGCAAGGAGGTTTTTGGTGCAGCAGCATAAACCTCTTTACACAGGCCTTATTCACTCAACCCTAAAAACACCACATATCAAAAATGTCACACAAAACTTGAATATGGGTGCTAAGCTATGTTTCAAAGTGCTGACTGTTATTTGTGTTTTCCTTTTCAGTGCTTTTGTAGATATCTTGAAGTACTGTTCAAGGCACATCAGATTGACTACAGCTTTCAGGTATATGGAAATTTAATATATGAAAAATCCCAAAATAACAATTTCATGGCTAACTGGCACTTTAACCACCATGCCATTAGTAACACCTCTGTTTGCACCACTGTTACAACCCTAAAAGCTAATAGCTAACTGTCTAGCCAGAAGTGAATGCGCCCCTCAGATAGCTGACTTAGCTTGGTCATTAAAAACACAATCATTTCACATTTAATATAAAAAATAACTAGACCTTTTGGAACAGTTTATCTTTTGGAACGGTTCATCTTGGAAGATTCTAAAATGCAGCTAAAAAGGCACAATAGTTTCTTCAGTTTTATACTTTCGGTTGCCTTACTTTGAGTAATGCAGCTGAGCTTTCAGTTCATATGTTGTTGTTCATATCAAAGCAAGCACTTGCACAGATTTACACAGTTTTCACACCTCAAGGATGTTTTAAATGAGTAATAAATATCTGTAAGTATCTTTTTTATAGCCTTAATAATAATTGAGAAAATAGTAAAAAAAATCTTATGAAGGCTAATTGTTCAGTGAGATGGGATTAAAGAGAAATGGGTGTTTTTATTAAGATTTTGAAAAGAAGACAGAGTAGCAAAAAATATTTCCTGCACTTCGACAGGAATAAACAGCTTTTAAATGTAGATTTATTCAAATGGCAGCTTTCTGGGGTTTTTTTTTTTAACATTTAACATTTACACAGCAGAACAAAGCAGGAGGATTCAACCTCTCTGGTAAGATGTGATTTTTATTTTGTATGTGACTGTAATTTTATATACGAGGAGGTGCAGGGGCACTTTAAAATTAGCACTTGCAGGGACTAAATGCTGTTTTTAGAAAGGGGGCAGTGTTCAGGACATGGCAGTGTGGAAATGATGATGGTGTGAGCTGAAGTGTTTCCAGTGACGCTGCGCATTACTCAGATGGTCAGGCTGTTTTCATTTTTTTCTGCTTATTCCATTCATTGTTACCAAAGCAAAATTAAGATGTCACAAGATGATTTATAATATATGTAAAACAATTCAAATTCAATTCTATGAGTTTTATGCTTATTTCACTGGCCTGTTTATTTCTTTTATTTATCGTGTATTATTTAATTTATTTATTTGTTTTAATATTAGATTAAGAGATTAGATGAAGAGTTAGGTGGACGAAGTACAAAGTATAACCTGAAGTGCAAACAATTCAAAAGAACCACCTGGTGGAGCCAATGCGCAGCAAATCTGTCAACTTCAAATTCTCTTACTGTGTCGGTTATGATGAGGTTTATTTTACATAAAGACATAAAGACTTATGCCAGTTGTCCTCTTTGAAAACCAACAGGAGGTTAGTGATGCTGATTTGGCTGCTCAGTGACACAGTTGGCGATTATATTTGCAGCACTGCTTCCATAAAGCTGTCCTTCTCCGACTCATAACACACAGTAAGCAAAGATGAAGAAATCCTCTTGCAAATGAAAGAAAAAACGATACTCCTTATAAATGCAGAATTTGCCTTAAAATAATCCACATTTTAGATTTTCTTCTGGATCAGAGTAAACCCGAGATACTTGTGCTCACAGCCATGACAGCACTGCAAACAGGAAGTGTTAAAAGCTAATTTGGCACATTTTTGATGGCCCAAATTTCAAGAAATACAGCATAACATGGCTCAGACTTTAGCCCAAACATTACACTTCCTGTTTGTATCCCTAAAGCAACCAAATTATGTTGCTTTCTAATATAAATATTAGAAGGTTGGGACCCAGAGTTCTATCTAAAACCGCAGGATTTAAACCTGAACCATCAGCCTCAGCACATACAGTATCTGTACACCATTTAAATTTATATATTTATATACAGTCTGTGACACAACAAAGACTGTAAATCGATTTAAACTCCACACAGAGCAGCATCGAGTCCTTGTACCCATCCTCAGGACACAAACTCAGCATCCTTCTGCAGGTTTTTTTTCCCCCAGATTTAAACATTATTCCTGCCAAATGTCTTTTTTTTTCTCACTTTTGTACTATTTTATATTAAACATGCTTTATAACAGTCCTCTGTGCCATGTTGGGAGTGTTGTGACTGCAGGCTTCGGTCACTTTTTTTATGTTTCTTCTGTTTCAATAAAATTAAAAAGTAAATTCTGTCTCAAAGCCGACCTGAAGCAAACTTGTTCAAACTTGTTCTTGATGGAAATGGTTTTTACGTCATCTGCTAGTTTTATTCTTATCATCTTTGTTCTCTTGTGTGGCTTTTTTTAAATCTGTATGGAAGCCAGGAAGTGGATAATAAATAAACTTAAATAAATATTTTAATGATTTTATGAAAACTGTAAGACTGAAATATAAAACATTTGAGATTATTAAAGTTTTTTTAACACAGAAGTAGGGGTGGGCGATATAAACGATATACGATAGAAACGATATACGATAGAAACGATATAAATTTGGCCAACGATAGAGATTTTGACTCTATCGCGATAGCGCATGTTGATGATGTCATCAAGCTGCGCCTGTTTTGGTCGAAAGCATCGCAGCGGCTAAAACCATTATCATCTGCAAATTATGCCGGGCGACAGTCATAGCAAAGAGATGAAGCACTTTTGAAATATGAGGAAAGCCAAAAACTGCTCTTCCTCCACTTCCGTAACATTGATTCATTAATGTTGAATTCTCTCGCAGCTGTTCTATTCCCATGTTGTTGCAGTATATTAATAACTAACCTCATATTGTGGATGAATAATCTTAAGTTGTTCTCCTGACTGAAGTTTGCCCCGTGTATAGCATCCTGCTATGCGATTGCATTTGTCCCTGACCACCAGAATCCCTCACGTTAACTTTTATCGAGTGGAAAAAAATTTTCCAGCTTCACTGTGCTAATGTTATGCTAACATAGCTGTGTCGCTAGCAATCACGTAGCACAACATTATATACCAGGTAGTCCAACTTCAGTAAACCTACAAACGACACTGCTGTTTAGTTTTCTGTCTTCATTTATGTTGAAAGTGGTAGCAGAGCTGTACGTTTTAATTAGTTTCAAAAATCTCTTTCAGAACATGGTATGAAATGTTTAGGTATAAATTAGCGAGCTAACTTCCTGTTAAATTTAAAAAATTCTGTTTTCATGGATGTAAAACTTAATTGTTACACCTGATAAAGCAGCAATGATTTAATTAAAGATGAAAGAATTTAGACCGTTTTTAACTCTCAGTGTTCGTTTGACTTTGGGACCTGAAAAAGACGGAGTTTTGGACCCAGATTACTCCGCGAAGCTCCTCACTACGGCAGCCGTAATGCTCTGACAATCCATCAAGCAGTGCGGCTTACCAAAGTTGTACTAAAACATTTTTTAACAGATTTCTGCACGCCAAAATCGGTTCGAGGTCAGTAAGCACAACCAGAAGTCATACATAAGGCACACTCTCAATTTTTGAGAAAATTAAAGGATTTTAAGTGTGCCTTATAGTGTGGAAAATACGTTATACAGAAGAAAAGAATATATCGTGATATATATCGTTACCGCACGTGCGGTATAGCTGGACTGGCCATCGGGCATACCGGGCATTTGCCCGGTGGGCCTCTGGTGATTTTTTGTTTTTATGGGCTGATCGATTTTTTTTTTTTTTTGGAAGGGTATAAATAATGAAAGGTGTTGGATTGGCCAATTGGTCATGATCGACTCTGGGCTGGACCAATTACAGCCGAGGAGGTCGGATGCACCCTCCCTCTTGTTTAGCAATCTTATGGAGGAACTAAAGAAAATGGAGAACAAAAAAAGGAAAGGAGGTGCAGAAAAAATTAGGGCCAAAAAGAAACAAGCCCTTCAGGCAGACGCTGCCAAATGTGTAAAAATAACTGAATTGTTTGGCGGTAGCTATGGCATAGCTTCCACAGATTTAGCAACATCAGCAAGTGGTGGAGGCCAGCAGGTGGATAAGGGAAAGGGGAGGCAAGAGGAGGAGAGACCCGAGGCGGCCGCCGGTCATAGTGGCAGAGGAACTGAACTTCAGGTAAGAAGTTATGACCTGCTGTCTATCTGTGTCAGATATAAACCAAGTTTAGTTGTAGTTTGTTTTCGTTGTGCTGACTTTTTACAGTCGCTTAGAATAACTGGTACTGCGTACTAGCTAGCATGACGGAGTTTATATACAGTGGGGCAAAAAAGTATTTAGTCAGCCACCGATTGTGCAAGTTCCCCCACCTAAAATGATGACAGAGGTCAGTAATTTGCACCAGAGGTACACTTCAACTGTGAGAGACAGAATGTGGAAAAAAAAATCCATGAATCCACATGGTAGGATTTGTAAAGAATTTATTCGAAACAGAGTGGTATATTTGGTCATTAACAAAAATACAACTCAATACTTTGTAACATTCATGTAACTTTCAACTCCCGCCACAGATTTTCTATGGGGTTGAGGTCTGGAGACTGGCTAGGCCACTCCAGGACTTTCAAATGCTTCTTACGGAGCCACTCCTTTGTTGCCCGGGCGGTGTGTTTTGGATCATTGTCATGTTGGAAGACCCAGCCTCGTTTCATCTTCAAAGTTCTCACTGATGGAAGGAGGTTTTGGCTCAAAATCTCACGATACATGGCCCCATTCATTCTGTCCTTAACACGGATCAGTCGTCCTGTCCCCTTGGCAGAAAAACAGCCCCATAGCATGATGTTTCCACCCCCATGCTTCACAGTAGGTATGGTGTTCTTGGGATGCAACTCAGTATTCTTCTTCCTCCAAACACGACGAGTTGAGTTTATACCAAAAAGTTCTACTTTGGTTTCATCTGACCACATGACATTCTCCCAATCCTCTGCTGTATCATCCATGTGCTCTCTGGCAAACTTCAGACGGGCCTGGACATGCACTGGCTTCAGCAGCGGAACACGTCTGGCACTGCGGGATTTGATTCCCTGCCGTTGTAGTGTGTTACTGATGGTGACCTTTGTTACTTTGGTCCCAGCTCTCTGCAGGTCATTCACCAGGTCCCCCCGTGTGGTTCTGGGATCTTTGCTCACCGTTCTCATGATCATTTTGACCCCACGGGATGAGATCTTGCGTGGAGCCCCAGATCGAGGGAGATTATCAGTGGTCTTGTATGTCTTCCATTTTCTGATGATTGCTCCCACAGTTGATTTTTTCACACCAAGCTGCTTGCCTATTGTAGATTCACTCTTCCCAGTCTGGTGCAGGTCTACAATACTTTTCCTGGTGTCCTTCGAAAGCTCTTTGGTCTTGGCCATGGCGGAGTTTGGAGTCTGACTGTTTGAGGCTGTGGACAGGTGTCTTTTATACAGATGATGAGTTCAAACAGGTGCCATTCATACAGGTAACGAGTGGGGGACAGAAAAGCTTCTTACAGAAGACGTTACAGGTCTGTGAGAGCCAGAGATTTTCCTTGTTTGAGGTGACCAAATACTTATTTTCCACCCTGATTTACGAATAAATTCTTTACAAATCCTACCATGTGAATTCATGGATTTTTTTTTCACATTCTGTCTCTCACAGTTGAAGTGTACCTCTGGTGCAAATTACTGACCTCTGTCATCATTTTAAGTGGGGGAACTTGCACAATCAGTGGCTGACTAAATACTTTTTTGCCCCACTGTAGATGTTTGCCTGGCCTGTCATCTGCAGTGTTTTTTTGTAGAGGGACATCTTCCTCTTTGTTTTTCAGTTTGCAGAGGACATGGAGCTCTTTTTAAAAGCATGTGCTGACGACCAGGGAATACAGGTCAATGCGATGTTTGACGTTTAACAGACAGATGAAGGCACTGGCTGTTTGTTTGTGTTTTTTATGTGTTGGTGGGTTTTCTTTCTAGTGTACAGAATTCCAATTAAACTTATTATAAAATGTTGTTCACTTGTTTCCATTGCCATACTTATAGTAAAAAAATTAGTGTAAATGTAACAGCATTGTTTATAATTGTAACTTCAAAATAAAAAGCTTACAGTTGCTATTAACATTAATGTATTACCCTGTAATCAGTAATATTTTATACATTTTACACATTAACCCTCTGGGCTCTATCCTGGCCATTTGTGGCCACTTCTTCTTCTTTTTTTCTTTTCTTTTTTTTTTTTTTTTTTTTACCATTTTTGCTGTGTTAATGCAAATGGAATGAAAGGGTCTAGATTGTTTTCAGCTTTTGGCTACTTGAAAGGCATTATGACATTTTTAAATTCCTTGTTATTTACAGTGCTAAATCATGCAATTTAGGTATAATTGCTTTTATTCTAAACTCAACACATAAAAATTATGCTTGTTGTTTTGGTTTTTTTGGGGGTTTTTTACCAAATGACATCCTTTGCCCATTTTTAGCCAAACAACCAATTTCATGTAATATTCTTAGTTTCAAATAGGGGCGTTTGATGGCTTACTACACTGTAGTGGACCAAAAGAAGGACACAGGTTTGATCTTAAGGATCTAATAGTTGCGTGTGTTTGTGCATGACATTGCAACGCAAATATGTATTTGCAAGATAGACTGGAATAAATTATGACGCATCAAATATTACACAGGCTGCAGTGAATTTCTGTTGATATGGGCTATTGAGCTTTGGGTTTCCCAGTCAAATTTATCTTTGAAGCACATGCTAAAAACGCTTTTACTCAGGTACTTTTCATAACAAGACACCATAGCCAAAATATTAACTCTCAAAAAAATTCAAAGCTGCAGCACATTCAGCAACAAACACTGTTAGAAAATGTGTCCTGGAGTTTATACAGGTGGAGAAAGTGCTATAATAATAATAATAATAATAATAAATTTTATTTATGAGCGCCTTTGAAGTCACCCAAGGACACTTTACAATAGAATAAAACACTTAGTAGTAGCTACTGCTGTAAGTAAGCCTAACAGCTTCCAGATCACTTTTTTTCTGTAAAGATGGCAAGAAGGGCATTAATGCTCATTTCTACAATCTCCCAAATCTTGGAATACAATGCCTTTGCCATGAAAACCACTTCACAGTAGTAGGAGTTCACTAAAACCTACAAATGAAGAGTGATCCTGGAAAAAATAGGGTGCACACTAGTGACCTCAACAATTGCAAGACAGCCTTGTCCCCGATGCTCATATGAAAAAATAAATAAATAAAAGGAAGATTTATGAAACCATTAGGACTTCACTTTTTTTTATCTGAAAGGTTACTGGTAATACATAATAATAATAATAATAATAATAATACATTTTATTTGAGGGCGCCTTTCAGAAACCCAATGTCACCTTACAAAGAACAAAATTAATAAAAGGAACAATAGTCATAAAATACATAAAATAAGTTAAAATT